TGGGGAGACCCCCTTGGCCCCCGCTGTGCTGTGCAGGAAGCTGCCAATGCCTATCCAGAAGGCCATGACCAGTCCAGCCAGGAGCCCCACGACAGCTCCCTGCGACAGGGGACAAAGAAGGGCACTGGCCCCCGTCTGGACTCAGGGTGCCCCACACCTCCCCACACACCCACACGGGGCTGGGGGACACTGATGGGGCCAGGGGACACTCACTGTGGGGTTGGCACAGGGGAAGAACATGCCGAGGCAGAAGAGCCCCAGGAGTGGACCCCCCACCATGCCGAAGATGCTGATGGCCGCCTGCGGGGACACGGCCTTCAGCACCAGCCCCGCGCCCCTGGGGGTGCCAGGGCCGGGGGTCCCTCACCCCATCTGGGGTGCCAGAGCCAGGGGTCCTGCGGCCCCGTGCCTACCTGCAGCACAGGTCCCAGCAGGGAGGACACATACGCCATCCCCAGGCATAGCAGCCCGTAAGCGAGAGCTGGGGAGGGCAGCGGGGTGTCATGGTGGTGCTGGGGATCCCCCCACCATGCCAGCCCCGCGGCTGCAGCCCTGGCCACCCCCTATCCACTCACCCAGCAGCTTGGAGATCAGCGTGGCCCGCGACTCCGACAGCCCGGGGAAGTGCGGCCGCACCAGGTCCTCCATGGTCACCGTGGCCAGTGAGTTGAAGGCAGAGGAGATGGTGCTGGGGAGGAGAGGGAGCAGGAGGGGGCTTGGCCAGGACACCTGAACCACCGTCCCAGGGCTGCCACTCACCTGAGGGCACCGCTGAAGAGGCAGGCGACAAAGAGCCCGGGCAGCCCCGGCAGGTCCCGCAGCACGTCCATCACGAAGAACAGCACCAGCTGTGGCAGGAGGTCAGTGCAGGGCTTGGGGCAGCAGGGGACACGGGAGGGGGTCTTAACCCACCTGGTCAGAGGAGGCGTAGCGCTGGCTGGGTGCCAGCGGGTGCTCCCGGTCATAGACGAACATGACGAGGCCGGTGAGGCAGCTGAGGCAGAGCACAATCTGCTGGCAGGGGAACACGGCGTAGCAGGAGCTGCGGGCGCCGTGTGGGTGTCAGACCCGGGGGAGTGAGGGGGGGGCCCATCCCAGCTGCAGGGACCCCCAGCCCCAGCCCCACTCACAGCTTGGCCTCCCGCTCGCTGCGGGCGCTGAGGTAGCGCTGCACCTGCGCCTGGTTCACCCCGTACAGCGAGAGCATCATGAAGATCCCACCCACGGCCAGCGACCAGAAGGTGTGACGTTCCAGGGGGTTGGGGTCCAGGCTGTGGGGAGGGCCAGGGGCGTCATGATGACAGGTGCTCATTGGCACCCCGTGGGAAAGAGGGCAACAGGGATGGACCACCACATGGTCCCTCTCCCCCACCCCAGGCTGCCCTAAGCGTCCCCACAGCGTGACGGGGGGTCCCCAGGAGATCACTCACTCAATGCCGGAGATCTTGCCCTCCTGCTCAGCCACGTGCCAGACACGGGCCATGCCCCCCACCCGCCATGCGCCCACCACGATGACGGCAACCTGCCCCGCCAGCATCACCAGCGTCTGGAACACATCTGTCCAGATGACGGCCTTCAGCCCACCCTGGGGACACACGATGGCCGTCACCACAGGATCACAGTGCCCGCCCTGACGGCAGGGGCACAGGGCACCTGCGGCAGCAGGGACTCACCAGCGTAGTGTAGAGCGTGCAGACCAGCCCCATGGTCAGCACCGCGCTCCAGAGGTCAAAGCCCGTCACTGGAAGTGCAGAGGACGTTAATGGGGTGAGGGGCAGCAGCCTCCTGGCATGGCCCCCCAGCCGTCCTCACCGTACCTGCGTTGAGGGCCAGCGCGGGTGCGTAGAGCACCACGCCCATGTAGATAACCTGCGGGGAGGGAGAGCAGTGCTGAGCCGTGCCCGGCCCCCGACCTCTGCACCCCCACGCCCCGAGCTCCACTCACCATCTGGAAGATGAAGGTGACGGTGCCGAAGACTCGCACCGTCTTGTTGAAGCGCAGCTCCAGGTACTGCAAGGAGAGAGGTCAGGGCACCCGACTGCAGGGTCTCTGTGGTCCCCCTGCGCTCCCCGTGTCCCCTCTGCTCACCTCATAGGTGCTGGTGATGCGCAGACGGTAGAAGACGGGGATGAAGATGTGCGCCGGGATGAGCAGCCCCAGGAAATAGGAGCAGCCAAGGAACCAGTACTCGGTGCCGAAGCGAAAGATCTCAGCTGGCACGCCCAGGATGGCCACAGCTGACTGGAAGGAGGCCAGCAGGGACAGGGCGACGGGCAGGCAGCCCATGTCACGGTTGGCTAGCAGGAACTCCTGCACCGTGCGCTGCCGGTCGCCACTCAGCGCGTAGAACAGCCCGATGGCCGAGGACAGCACCAGCAGCAGCGCGAAGATGCCGTAGTCGATGGCCGTGAACTCCATGGTGAGCGTGTCCCCGTGCCGCTGCCCCGCCGGTGCCGCCCGCGCCCTGCCGGCCTCATGGGCACTCCTGACCCCGGCGGCACGTCCTGACCAGCATCGGCCTGGCCCTGGCAGCTGCAGGAGGGAGTGTCAGTGCTGCAGGGACCTTCGCTCGCTCTGTCTCAGCCTCAGGGACCCAGAGCGGGGGAGAAGAATGGCTGGACCCTCCTCCTCCTCCTCCCTCTGGGCCGGGCTTGGCCACCCCCGGGCCGCCCCACCTGCCCCGCTGAAGGAAACTGGAGAGTCTTCAAAGAGCACCAAGACAATGGCTGCAAAAACAGTCCCACCCAGGCCCCCCGCAGCACCGGCACCACCGGTGCCGGCAGAACTGGCCAAACCCAACACAGCCGCCTCCGGTGCAGGACAGCCCCAATCCCACCTGAGCCAAACGCAACACGACCACCCCTGGAGCTGCACAGCCTTGAGCCCGCAGTGCCGGTCCCACCTGAGCCAAACCCAACCTGGCCCAACCACCCCAGCCTTGCACAGCCCCACCAAACCCGGCAGCACCGGTCCCACCAGCACCTAAGTCAACCCAACCCAACCACTCCAGCACCCCATGGCCCTGTAAGAACTGCCCCTGGTGCAAGAGCTTGGCCAAGCCCAGCATAACTGCCCTGGCCCTTGTGGCAGCCCGATGCTCTGGGGCCAGCACAGCACAGCCAGCGCTGGGGCAGTGGCTGCTGCACCAGAATTGGCCCCACCAGCAGCCCCTGGACCTGCAGAGTACATGGATGGGGCTGGGGAGGTCGTGGAGCCTGCACCAGTCCTCCTGGAGAGGAGGCACAGGACAGCCTTGTCCCGGAGCACAGAAGCTGGGCAGGGTGGCCCCCACACCCCACATGGCCAGGGATGGACACAGGGGTGGAACGGACAGAGGGGAGCTGGCAGCCTCAGGGGTTCTGCGCATCAGCCAGGTGCAGCAGACACCTGAGCATCCAGCAGCTCTGGCACCCTGACCCTGCTCACAGGGCTCTCCCCAGAGCCCCCTGTGCTCTGCCCCCGCCCCGGCTCCAGCCACTGTGGAACAGGAGGGGACAGCTGGGCACACTGCTGCCCCTGCCTCCCCCCACATCCAGGGGACTGCGGGAGCAGCTGGTGCCACAGGGCTGTGGATGCTCCCCCCCCGGCCTGGGAGGGGGTGCAGGCTGCAGGGACCCTCTGTCCCAGCCGGGCAGCGTTAGGGGCACAGGGAGGACAAGTCTGGACCGGGGGTGGCAGGCAGGGAGTGGCACAGTGCCTGCTGTGATCCCATCGTGATCCCTGGAGGAATGCTTGCCTGGGGAATGCCTGGTGGGATTAGGCTGAGCCTCTCCTGGCACCCCTGGCACAGCCTGCCTGGACCTGCCTGCCACAGGGCCGTGGGTGGCTGAGCTGGCACGGGGCTCTGCGGCACCGGCAGTGTCTGGGTGGGGAATGGGGTGAGAGGGCAGTGTCTCTGCTGCCACCAGCCCTGGCCCGTCCCTGACCAGGACACGGCTCCAGGCGCAGCAGCTCAGGGCCAGCGTCCAAGGTCACTCCCCACATTCCCCCATCCAGACTAAACATGGGAGGTTACATCGTGTCCCCAATGGTCACACAACCTCCTGAATGGCCCTGGCCCAAGACTCCTATGCCCTACATTCCCCTCAGTGTCCCTGAGGCTCTGCTGCCTCCAGCCCTGGTGTCCCCACATCCCCATCACCTGGTGATCCCAAGCCCTGCTGTCCCCGTCACCCCACTGAGGCCCTGCTGCCCTCTCCCCCAGATGGGCCCAGAATGTCCCCCACAAAACTCAGCAGCCCCAGGCCCCGCTCTGCCAGCCCTGGGGTGCCCCGAGTGCAGAACCTGCTGCCCCTGTCCCTGCCGTCCTCAGCCTGCCTTCCCCGGTGTCCCCGCTCCATCACACCCTTCCCTGTCACCCGTGTACCCGGGGACCTCGCCTGAGGCGCCCAGCGCTGTCCCCGGTGCCCTCAGGGGCTCTACTCCCCTTCCCCGGTGTCCCCGGTGATCGCGGTGTCCCCCTCCCGGGGCTCTGTTCCCCGTCCCCGGTGTCCCCGGGGCCCCCATCCCGGGATCCCGCGGTGCAGCCGGTCCCGGTGCGGGTGGCGGCGGTGACCTTGTCCCGGCGGCCCCGGTGCAACACTCACCGGCGGCGGCAGCACTCACTCACCCCATGTGCCGCCGCAGCCGGGGCGCGCCGGGATGACGCGGGGGGGGCGGGGCCGCTCCCGGTGCCGCTTCCGCACGGCGGCGTGACGGCATCACCGGGGGCCCGGCGTGCGGCTCCCGGCCCGATCCCCGATCCCCGGCCCCGATCCCCGATCCCCGGCCCCGATCCCCGGCCCCGATCCCCGATCCTTGGCCCCATCCCCGGCCCGGCCCCGCCGCGCTCCGCCCGCTCAGGCGGTCACCGTGCCCCGCTACCCCCGCTGCCGGGGACCCTCCGTGGCCTCGTTCGGGTCCAGAGCGCGCCCGGCCCGTGGAGGCGGGGGGCAGAACGGGCACGGATCTGCCCCCTCCCGCTCGGTGCTGCCCGCCGTGCGGCCCCGGTGGCGCGGGGATGCTCGGGGCTGGCGGAGCCGTGGGCGGGTTGGCGCTGCTGCTGCTGCCGCTGCTGCTGCCCCGGGCCGCCCGCGGGACCGGGGTGAGCAACGGGGGGACAGGGCCGGGGTCACGGAAACAAGGGGAGGGCCGGAAACGGGGGACTGCGGTGGGCAGAGGATGGCACGGATCAGAGGTGCCCAGAGTCCAGGGAGTGCCCGCACGGGGATGCCCGGATCGAGAGCTCCCGGCGGGGAACCGAGGCCGGTGCGTCCCCGATCGGGGGTGTCCCGAGGCCGGGGGCGCCCGGCCTGGGGGTGCCCGGGCGTCGGGGCAGTGGCGGGTTGCCCCAAGGCCGAGGAGGCTGTCCTTTAACGGGGAGCGGCGGTACCCGGGCTTCGGGGATAGCCGGAGGTCGCGGGGCGCACGGGGGTCGGGGGTGCCCCTGTACCGCCCCTGCTCACTCCCCCTCGACCTCTCCAGGTGTGCGGGCTCTGCCCGGGGCCGCCGCGGAACGGCTCCATCGTGTCCCGGTTCTGTGAGTCCCGGGGCAACACTGAGACCGATGGGCGCTGCTGCCGGGAGCGGGCTCCGTCCCCAGGGCGGCTTCTGGGGTACGGGGGGCGGGGGGAGGACGGGGATGCCCGGGCTGGGGGCGAATCTGGGGTGCTGGGGGCGTCGGGGGCCGTGTGATGGGGGTGCTCGGGGGATGGAGGGTGCCGGGATGGGTTTTTGGGTTCACAGTGGTGTCAGGGGAATGGCAGGGCTGGGGAACGCCTGGATGGAGCGTCCTGGATGGTGGCGTGTGGAGACCAGGTACGGGCAGGGGCCAAGATGGGTGCTGGGGGCCACAAGGGCGTTGGGGTAAAGTGTGGGGAGCAGGCATGATACTGTCTGCCCCAACCACTGCCCTTTCCCAGGCTGGACCTGAGCAACTGCTCCCTGCACACTGTCCCCCCGGGGCTGGCCGAGGCCACTGATGCCATTGTCCTGTGAGTTCCCCTGGGACCCCTCTGGCCCCTGCAAGGAGCTGGGCTGGGCTGGGCTGGGAGAGGGGTTGGGGCAGGTTTGGTGGGACATGCCCATGGGCCCAGGCCAGCACAGCCGTGCCCTGCTGGTCCCAGGGACGGTGGCCACTCCCTGCCCTCATGGCTGTCAGTAACAGTCCACAGGGTGTGAACAAACAGAAACCACCCCCATTGGTAAATGGGGAGCCCTGGGACCTATCTGACCAGGCAGCCTCCCCCCTGTGCCCAGTGGGAGCACGGGACAGATCCTTCTGGAGTTCTGTCATGGTGCACATTGTCACAGGACAGCTCTCCCGTGGGGGCCTGTGCTGGCAGGTGAGAGATGAGCCACTTGGTCACATCTTGACTTTTGCCACAGTTGCACACAGCGTCCTTGGCCCCAGGCTGGAGAGACAGGAGTCAGGGAGGTGACTCCGGACAGCCAGCCACGTCCAGGCCACTGTCAGGTCTCAGTGCCCAGTTGTGCCCAGTGAGCCGTGGTGGCCCTCGGGGCAGCACGACACCTCAGCTCATCAGTGTTTTTGTTAATGACCAAGCGGTCCCTTAGCAGCTCTGCAGAGACCTTTGAGCCCTTGCTGTAGGGCTGCACTCCCAGGGCCTCGGGTGGGGGATCGTGGGTGCATGGAAAGCACCTGAGGTTCAGTGAGGTGCCAGGGGTACCCCCGGTGCCAGATGAGACTGAAGGTCTGTGTGTTCACAGGGACTTGACTGAGAACCCCATGACAGCTCTCCCCAATGGTTCCTTCCTGGGCTTCATCCACCTGCAGAGCCTGTGAGTGCTGGGGGCAGGAGGGGCTGGGGGGTCACCGTGGTGCCCGTGCTGAGCTCTGCCCCCAGCGCGGTGCCGCTGACACTGGAGTGTCCAGGCGGGAGTGACGCCTGGCAGGACGTGACAGTGGATGGGAGCAGCCGGCTGTGCCAGGGACAGAGGAACCCCTGCAACAGCTCTGTGGAACTCGGTATGGTGGGGGACTGACCCTGGCAGTGTGTGCATGGGGCTGGCAGTGGGGTCTGGCCTCGGCCCCTAACCCCTGCTCTGCTCTGCCAGCCTGGCCATGCCCTGAAAACTCTGTGTGTGCCCCTGACGGACCCGGCTTCACCCAATGCCTCTGTGACAATCCCTTCCATGGTTACAAGTGCCTGCGTGAGGTGAGTTCCTGTGGGACTGAACCTCTCTCTGGCTGTGCCCCAGCCAGGTCAGCAGGGGCTGCAGGGAGTGCTGATGCTCACTCCTGGTCCCCGACAGGGAACATTCCCGATGCTTCTCTTTGGAGGAATCCTGGGCACTGCCACTGTGTCCCTATCGCTGCTGCTGTGGGGCACCCAGCGGAGGAAGGCCAAGACCCCCTGAGCAGGGCAGGGGGCCGTGCCTGGGCTGTAAGCTCTGAGGCCTGGGAGGCTCTCGGGATCAATAAAGCTGCAGGTCCTCACTGTGTGTCCGTCTGGTTCCTTCCCGGGGAAGGGTGGGCGCGCCGGGGCTCAGTGGCACGCACGGGAAGGGGCCAGGCCGGTTCCCACACTCCCCACGCTGGGGCCGAAGCGGGGCTGAGCAGCAGGAACGTCCGCAGCGGGACCTGCCCGCCCTCCGTCACCTTCCCCAGCCCCGAGGAACAGCGCCTGCCTCGGCTGCTGAAAATGGTCTGTTGGGCAATTCCCCGACAGCAGCCGAAACAGCAACGGCACACATTCAACCTGTCCTTTAACGTCCAGATCAGGGGAGAGCGCGAACGCAGTCCCCCACTACCACAAATTATGCAGTCGAGTTTCCCGCATTTGGGGAAATCGCAGGGGTCAGCACACCCGGAGTGCAAGGGATGAGCCTCGCCCTGGGAAAACCACCTGCCTGATCATGGTGTCTCCCCTGCCAGGTAAGTATGCCCGACCCCGCCCCACGCCCAACCACCCTGACCGCCCCACGCCTCCCCAACACACGCCCACCCCGACCCCGGCCCCGCACCCAACCGGCCCCGCGCTGCGGCCCGGCCCGCACGGCCCG